GACCCACTTCACAGAGTTGCCCTTAGCCTCTTTCAGAGGAGACACAGAAGCCTAGTGTGGGAAATAAAATGGCCCAGGGCGTATATCACAGATTAGATACAGAGGACAGCTCTTTTTGCACTGTCCAATCTGCAATGCCAAGTCAGGTTAGACACAGAATAAAGATCCTCTAAACTGTCCAATCCAGCCATCAAATGTTACACACAGCTCAGATTCGATACAGAATAAAGATCAAATGTGTTCAAAATTATTAGAGGTTTTGATACCATTTCCACCGGTCTGTAAATTGGTAACGAGAGAGCATGGATTTAAGCTCATTACCTAAAAAAGAACCTAAGGAGATTAATATAAGAAGGTTATTAGGAAATGGAATTACTACCAACAGGGGGTTGAATGCATAAGAGCTTTTAGAAGGGAATTAAGCAAATATCTAACAATCCTTGTGTTTGATACAATGCCTTTCATTTCAAGCGGCCATCCCATAGCGCTGTTGTAAACGAATGAAATATTTGAAAAAGGAAATCTAAAAGGTTATGAGGAAAGGAATTGGGACTAAACGGATGGCTCTTTCTGAGAGGCAAAAATGGGTTGTATGGCCTCTTTCTGTGCTGTGAAATTCCATGATTCCACGTGAGCGACATTGGCTTGAAGGAAGATAAAGGAGAATTCTGTACAGTTGTCGCTGAAAGTGCAGAAAACAAGGAGCAGGAGAATCACCAGAATTAACAACAACAACAAATTACATTTGTATAGCGCCTTTCATGTCAGGATGAAGTTCCAAAGCGCTGGATAGGATCGCAGAGAGAGTGTAGGATTCAATGTGTGGCGAATGAGTGGAAATGAAGAAAGGGAAAAAATTGGCTTTTTAATGTTGTGGAGATTCTCTCAGCTTCACACAGCTGCTCCCTGACTGTGCTTTAATTCTCTGAGTCTCGGTGCCTTGGCTCTTCTACACGCCACTCCTGTTGCCTTGGTGTGATACTGCCCTGCTCTCCTAAACATTCCCAGCTGCTGACTCTCCTGGCCCATATAAACTAATGAACTCTCAGCTCTGAACCCACCCTCATCATAACACGCATCTTGGTTGCCTCCCGAGCAGTGAGTTAGGTCAAGGGGCTGTCCATACCAACGGGGCCCGAAATTAAAGAGAGATCAATCGATCGCTGGGAGTGATTACAAAGATGTAATCCGAAACAAAGTCAGGCAATGTCACCGACTGAACCAGTAAACGTTCTGAACCTTGTAATCCTCATCTGAACTCACACTACCCACTTGCAACTAATTGCTACACACTCAGATACCAGCAATAAAGCAGAAGCTTTAGGATATTGTGCCTGCGAGCACATTCCACTGCTTACATGTAGAATAAAGCTCCCTCTGCACTGCCCCATCTAGCATTGCCAGCTCTGGTACAGCAATGTGCACCTAATCTGTCCTGAAACTGAGCTCTCGAATCCATTGAAGTTCAGGTCCGGAGCAGCATTGTATCTACCTCCACTACTTCTTGCTCCTATCTTCCACCTCCATCCTATGTCCTTTTCCAGTGCTCCTCTCTAGAGTGAGGCCACTTTGGATTTGCATTCACAAGGCAGCAACGTTGGTCCATGGGTCCATTCAGATGTGCAATTACATTGCAAAGCACCTTAACAGGCGTACAAAAGAGGAAAATTGCAAAACTGATTACCAACAATGTTTTCAGTCCACTCCATTCCAAAAACGATCATCGTTTATCAACGAGAATAGATGAAGAGGGTGGAAAACCACCTACGTAAGGATATCAGGGCTCTGCCACCGCACCCATATATAGGTTTGCGTATTTCAGTTGCTTTATGGTCAATAACATTTCACAGCTGCGCGTCACTCGCTAAATGAAGTGAGCATGCATGGGGCAATGTTAATTGAAGGCTTTAAACAAACTCATTTTCAAACCATTCAGCCAAATAATAAATAAAAGTGGACTTCAAACATGAATTCACAGCAGCCAGATATAGCCATGTAATAGCCCTTCAGCTTAAATACAGATGAAGCTATGAAGTGGCTTTTCATTTCTGTCTGCCTTTCTCCCAGTCTCTTACTCTGCTTTGCCACTGCTCACCCCTATTTCCATTTAATTATCCTTCCAATTTTGATATAGCGCCTTATTTAAGAGTGAAATCAGGAAGCACTTTTTCACACAAATGGTCGTAGAAAGCTTGATCCCTCTCCCCCAAAAGGCTGATCAATGCTGGATCAATTGGAATTTTCAAGACTGAGGTTGATAGATTTGTGCTAGGTAAGGGTATCAAGGGGTATGGAGCAAAGGCAGGCAAATGGAGTTCAGGTACAGATCAGCATGATCTAATATAATGGCGGACAGGCTCGGGGGGGTTGAATGGCCTACACCTGTTCCTATGTTCCTGCTCTCATTCTCTCTATGTTCCTTCCTGTTTCCGGTTCTCTTGTTTCTCACGTACTCTGTCCTAACTGACAGGCTCACACAGGCTGGTGTGGGAGAAGACACAGAGAGCAGAATTTTGAATAGTCTGCAGCTTGTGGAGAGAAGAGTTGAGAAGACCAACGAGCAGACCGTTAGCATAGTCTAATCTGGAGTGATAAAAGCATGGCTAAGGCTCTTGGCTGCCCGAGGAGAGAAGCAGTGGAGGTGGGCAATGTTACGAAACTGGGCAAAAGTGAATAGGTCAAGTCACGGATATGTATTGAAAGGATAACTGAAAATCGATCAAGACACCAAGATTCTGTACTGGCTTAGTAAGGTGGAGTTTGCATCCATGAATAATGATGCTGTCAGCACCACAGGTAACAAGGAGCCAAGCAGGAGAGCACACAATGAGGATGCAGGGGCAGACGAAGAATGTGTGGGACGGCGTATTAAGAATTTGGCAGGAGCAAGAGTTTGATTGAAGTTACATTCACAGTGAGATGACTGTGCAATTTAGCCCTGCATGATCTGGAGTGAACACTCGCCAGGAAGCACATGATTATTTTCTGTATTGCTGAGTTCAGAAAAGATTTACACCAGTCTTCAATAACAAATTGCCACCATCATGGCCTCTCTCCTCTAATAAAGCTACATTTAGTTCTGATCCACACAGACCAAGTGAATTCCAAGTTCCATCTTGGTTGATCTCAGCACAGATGGTAGTGGAAGCACTTCAATTCCTTAGCCTTAGTCTCCTGGTGTTAGGGAAGCATGAAATCAGCTTAGGTTGCCCCATGCTCGCTATCCAACCTCTCCCAATCGATATCAAGTAAGGATTATGCTCGGCTTTGGTGGCCGTTATTATCAAACAGGCTGCCAACGCTCAGTGCCTGGAGGCACAGATGAAGAATGGGCAATTGGATGAGGTACTGAGGACTGCTGGTGTCCATGGAATTGGTGTGAACCATTGCCTTTTGGAACAGGAACAAAAGCAATCGAAAGGGACAAAAACAAATGGAGGCTCATTATTAAGAGCCCCTTTACAGATCACCACATGAGATCAACCTATTCCACCAATAAGAGGTCTCCCCAAAACTCTTGCCTTCAGAGCAAGAAGAGACTTTTCTTCCTTATCTAATAATAATCCCTCCAAAACAAAAAAGAATAAATTGGTCATTTTCAATCTACGACTGTTTGTGGGACATTGCTGTGCGCAATTGGCTGCCGCGTTCGCCCACAAATATACAGTCAATTCACTTTACAGTATATTCTGTGAAGCGCTTTGGGACGTCCTCCTGACGTGAAAAGCGCTATATCAAATGCAAGGATTATTATTATTATTATTATTATCCTCCATGCATTTGGCCAAGAATAAAATTAAGGGTGATTCGTAGAGACGCAAATACTCTTTGGATCACAAAGGTTCCGGTCTTGGTTCAGCAATGGGGATTTCATCTGTTAACAATTGGTCAGAGCTGGATAACTTAGGTTGTAATTAGCGTTAAATATCTTTGCTCAGTTATCTTTGAGAATCGGAAGTAATGTCAAAGAAATCTTTTGAACATTCTCCCTCTGATTATTCATCGTCTTTAAGAGATTAAATAACTTGGGGTTATTCACAAAGCGTGTATGTTCTGTTGGGAGAAATTATTTGATTTGCTGAAGTTAAGCTCCAATACCATCCTCGTTGCCTTCCTCTGAACCTTTCCAGTAACTGTTTAAGGTGTCAGCCTTCCTCAGTTGGTAGTACTCTTGCTTCTAAATCAGCAAGTTGCAGGTTCAAGCCCCACGTTGGGTCTCTGAACTAGGCTGACACACCAGTACTGTGTTGGGGGAGCACTGAAATGTTGTCCTTCAGATGAGGCAATAAAGACGCAGCCAAAATGCAGCAAGTGCACTCTGACCAAAAGCATTACAGATTGTTTCTGTCCAGTATCTTATTTAATATATTCGTATTATAAGTGCTGTTTTACCAACGATATTCAACATTGCACATTTGTAATATCATTTGTCATTTACCTTCCCAGTTGGCAGAACGGTAAATCTATTTGATGCACCTTCCTCAATGCCTGGGTTCACTATACGTTCCTTACAGTCTGCACCTTGGACATGTTTAGCCCTACAGGGTAGTCACCAACGCGACCAAGCTCGCAAATACATCGATGGCGAAAAGATTATATGCAACATTTTTGAAATCAAGTCTTAAATGCTGATGAAAATTACACAAAACAATCAATGGGTGATAACTTAAAAGGTGATGAGACCACATTGGCGATTGATGAAGATCACTTACTGCAGTCGCTAGAGATTGGAACCTTGAGAGGAAAGACCAGGGGTAAAACAACAGTCCATATTCAGTAGTGATGGCACAGAAAATCTGATTCGAAATTGCACACAAGCAAAGAAGGAATTGTAGAAATGCCGCTTTGGAAGTTTCAACGCACACAGACTTTCCAGGTGAGGAACCAGTGTGTTGCAGCCTGACGTACGGGACTCCCCACAGGTCACACTTACCAGTCCAAACTGACAGAGCGAGGCCGGGGGCGAGGGACAGGCTGATCGATCACTGCATTCCTTCGCTTGCTGAACTTCTCCTTTTGGGCAAATCGCTGAGCCAGTTTCAATATACCACTTTCGATCCTGATGCGGAGGACATGAAGAACACAAAGGTGTTTATGGGTTCACAACAAAATGGAATGGATCAAATCATCTACAAGACATAAATAAAATATGATTTTCTCAGCACAGTGATGGAATGAAAAATGATGAAATTGCAAATGTATCAGATTGTAAGCTTGAAGGAGAACTCAACGAAGCCTCTACATACTGTTCCTTCTCAGACCCATTCTCTTTGAAGATCACAATCACTGGGCTTTTAACCCGCTTGTCAATACAGTACCATTTTTGCACCAATAAAGTTAAGACTTTTGAACAAAATGCAAACTCTGCTTCTTTATTTCAAGAGATCATCAGAATAACTCTTTGACCCATTTTATCTCATCCTCCCTCAATATTGCCTTCTCATTACAACTTCCAGTTATTTCTTAAACATGTTGTGCTTACCAGTCCTAAAGTGTGGGGCCCAGAACTGAACACAGTCTCTTGCTGAGGCCTAACCAGTGTTTTATAAAGGTTCATCATAACTTCCTGACTTTTGTATTCTATGCCCCTATTTATAAAGTCTAGTATCCCGTATCCTTTTTTAACAGCTTTATCTACGTATCCTGCAAACTTGAAAATTGTACTCCCTATACCCAAGTCTTGGTCATTTATATAGATCAAAAACAGCAGCGGTCCCAATACTGACCCCACTGCACACTTCCCTCCAGTCAGAAAAACAACAATTCACCACCACTTTAGGCTTTATAAATAGGGGCATAGAATACAAAAGTCAGGAAGTTATGATGAACCTTTGTAAAATACTGGTTAGGCACCAGCCAGTTCTGTATCCATGCTGACACTTTAATACTTGAGCTTCTATTTTGCTTACAAGTTTCTTATGTGGCAGTTAATCAAATGGCTTTTGAAAATTAAATTAAATAAATAAATAGATAGATAGATAGATAGATAGATAGATAGATAGATAGATAGATAGATAGATAGATAGATAGATAGATAGATAGATAGATAGATAGATAGATAGATAGATAGATAGATAGATAGATAGATAAAATTAAATTAAATTAAATTAAATTAAATTAAATTAAATTAAATAAACAAACAAACAAACAAACAAACTACATCAACTGCACTACCTTGATCCACCCTCTCTGTTACTTCATCAAAAAACTCTATCAGATTTGTTAGACATGATTTGCCTTTAACAAACCTGTGTTGCCTATCCTTTACTAACCCATATTTTTCTACGGGGAGAGAGTGGGGGAGTGGGATTGATTTAGATAGCTCTTTTCAAAGAACCGGCACAGACATGATGGGCCGAATGGTCTCCTTCTGTGCTGTGGGTTCGAAACTCTGACTGTCCAGTGCCTTGGGACGTCCTCCCGACGTGAAAGGCGCTATACAAATGTAATTTTGTTGTTGTTTAATTCTATGATTCTATGATTGACACCCCTGAAATTGTGAACTCTTGTCCTTGATATATCTTAAACTATTGTTCCTGCTCTACATTCTCAATCCCATTTACCATTTTTTTGACCTGTATATACTCCTATCTGAAAAGTCTATTGTCAACGCCTATCTAGTCAACTTCCAAGTCTGAAACTCCCCTCACTGCAAAAAATACATTTCTTGGCATTATGTTATATCACCTTTGATTTTTTGCAAATATTATTCAACACAGTAACTCTTAATTGGAATCATAGGGAGCTACACTGCTCCAGATTTACATTTATCAGTTACCATGCGCTTAAAATAACAGTCGAATTTTATCATTGTAATTTAATATTGTGCGATGCAATTGAGTTTATAATTTAAAGCTTATTTACAGTTATTTATAAGAGTTCAGTGACAAATTCTCTAACCTTACAATGTGTTCATTGTATAATTACACTTACTAATGCTGTCATGGACACAAGCGTGTTCACTTTACTGAAAACACCAATTTTCTGGTCAATAACAAAGAACGATTGTCACTGGTGTCGGGCTGCATGTTGAAGGCAGCAACTGATTGACAGCAGTGTAATTATCATGGTTCTGAGCCGTGATTCGCCCTGACAGTCCTGCTGGAACTATTTATGCACAAGATGAAAAGCTCGATAGGTAATGAAAATCGAGCATGAAAGGGGGAAGAGGCAAAGTCCAAATAATATGTGGATGTTGGGTTAAGACAGATCTTGAGCTGGGATGTAATGCGTCCAGTGGGTGAATAAACTGCTGACACTATCACACATGCAGGATGGCAGCTTAATAATAATAATAATAATAATAATCCTTGCATTTGATATAGCGCTTTTCACGTCGGGAGGACGTCCCAAAGTGCTTCACAGAACACACTGTAAAGTGAATTGACTGTATATTTGTGGGCAAACGCGGCAGCCAATTGCACACAGCAATGTCCCACAAACAGTTGTAGATTGAAAATGACCAATTTATTATTGTTTTTGGTTTTTGGAGGGCTTATTATTAGGCGTATGGAGTAAGGAAACTTGCCCAAGGTTTCGCCCTGCCTGGAATTGAACTCAGGTCTCTCGCTTGCAAAGCGAGCTTGGAATAAGTCCTGCAGTCCACCTCCTCTGGAGAAGAGAAGTGTCCTCAACACACAATCTGGGGTACCTAAGGCTGGGCTCCTGCAAACCTGTACGTCCTACTTTCTAGAATTAGGTAAACTGGATCTTTGTTGAGAGCATACATTCCAATACAAATGCAGGGACGTTGCATAAGTGGCATTCATATGTGGCTTGTCTTGGATACTCTTAAGCATGGTGATAACCCAGTTCACCAACCCTCCCAACACCCGACACCCCCACCTGAAAAACAGTTCATTAGATTAATACCTGATCTAAAGGGTTTTGCTATGACAAAGCAGAGGAAATTAAGGGGTCATTTGATTGAGGAATTTAAAATAATGAGAGAAATTGACAAGGTAGATAGTGAAAGATATCAAACTCTTCCTTTTGAAACAGGAATCCAGTAGTAGGCTTAGAAACAGAATTAAAACAATTAAAAATGAAGTTAACATAAGAACATAAGAAATGCCAGATGAAAAAAGACCAATGTCCATCTAGTTTGCCTTCTACCTTCCTGGCGGTCGCATGCACATATGTCCCAAACTACCTATGTACTATATTCTATAATGTTATTTCCTAAAAGAAAACTATCTAATATAGTTTGAAAGAATCAATACTTCCTGCTTCAACTGTCTCCCTAGGGAGCCTGTTCGACAGGTTCACTATTCGCTCACTGAAATAGTGTTTGCATAGATTCGTTCTGAATAGATTTGTGGAGTCATGTAGCTCAGTAGTTAAAGTGCTCGCTTTGTAAGCGAGAGACCTGGGTTCGATTCCCAGCAGGGTGAAACCTTGGGCAAGTTTCCTTAGTCCACACGCCTGATAATAATCCCTCAAGAAAATAAAACAATAATAAATTGGTCACTTCAAACCATGACTGTTTGTAGAACACTGCTGTGCACAATTGGCTGGCGCATTTCGCCCACAAATATACAGTCAATTCACTTTACAGTCTATTCCGTGAAGTGCTTTGAGAAGTCTAGAAGACGTGAAAAGCGCTATATCAAATGCAAGGATTATTACTAATTTACCCCCTTTCGTGTCCTCTGGTTCTACTATTCTGGACAAGTTGAAACAGCCTGTCATGTTCTATATTGTCTTGCTCCTTTAGAAGGTTAGAAGCATTTCTTCACACACAACGTTCTGAAAATGTAGAATGCTGCAGTCCCAGGATGCTGTAGAGTTGGAATCAACAGGCTTGCTTAAATAAAAGATAGTTGGATACTTCGGAGATGTAAGGTACTAAGGCATAGTGCAAAGGAATGGACCATTGGGATTAAAAGATATGCCTAACAGGTAAGCTAAATCTTAGGGAAAGGCCGGAGAGGTTGAGGAGGTCAGAGCCACACAGGAGAGAAAACGTTGACAAGAGCCAAAGAGTATGGCTTCTGTCTTTTTGACATTCAGCTGCAGGAAGTTTGCACTCATCCAGGCCTTGATATCTGACAGACAAGCTGACAGAACATCAGAAGGCCTGGAGTCGCAGCTGGTTGAGGAGAAGTAGATTTGGGCATCATCTGCTGACATGTAGAAATTTAACCCCTGTCTGTGGACATCGCCGAGAGGGACCATGTAGCAGCGTGAGTGAAAGAGCACCCGTACTGCATTGACGCTCTGGGTGAAGAGCTTGAAACAAGCCCAGGGCAATTCTGCAGCACTAAACTCTGTTTAGACAACAGATTTGAATTTAAATTCCATCACAGTCTAATCGTTAATCCCACGTGGGATGGCGCTGCTGGAGTTTATTTTGACTTAGGCCATTTTACATCGCTGCTCCACAACCACCAAACAGGAGCCTGTCAATTCACATCGTTTTTACGTCATCTCTGCACTTCCAAAGGGGCAGCACTAGCAGACAAAACAATCTCACACCATTAATCCACCAGCCACGGTGCCCACTCTAACGAAACCCTTCCCCAAATTTCTCACAAGGGATGACAAGCTGATGACAAGTGGGACTGGTAAAGGTTTTGGACTGGATTTTCTTTGGCCTCTTGGTCATCGTGCAGTGCATTCGATTGGAAGCTCCCCCACTATCCACCTCCCTACCCATTATAATAAAACAGGGTTAGATTTCAATTGATACAAATTGTGTTTAGAAGACCTGGTCTGACTGGGAGTAATAAGCTAGCAAGGGTGTTCTACCGTGAAATAGTTTGGAGAATAGCCTTCTGTTATCAGGATAAGTGGCTTATTATAAGGATCCATTGACCTTTTTCTGTCATAATTCTTGCACAAACACCCACAGGAAGGCCAGCACAGTTCGGGTATCCGGGCCACCAGGAACCTGCAATCTTCTGAGTGCTCACATTGATCTAACTCTTACTGGTGTGACTGTTTGACTCTGGGCTGCTGCCTGACAGAATGGAGAGCAGGGACGTACAAGCGTGTTACCCAATACCAGAGGCCCACGCTCAACCAACAGGACCTGGGAGGTCACCTGCTGCGATCCGA